CTAGGCCCAAAACGTCAGCTTTCCTGCTCCTCTGATGCTGCTTGGCCTGCTGTGTTCATCCAGCTCTACACCTTGTTATAACAGTTAACCACCACTTTTTTGTTTAAATGCCAACTGGACAGGTCAACTCTGATTGGTCAAGATATTGCCATGGTGAATACACTAGACAATGGTTGTCTCACAGCTTTTGTTCAGGTGAAAAAGGCTCAATGCATGGAAATTTTCTCTCTGTAGGGCACAGAGTCCTGAATCCATGTCTAATAATCCCTAAATCATTTGTTAGTGTAATTAGTAGTACTGTAGGGGATTATTTTGTAAGTACTGTACAATTGCAAGATCACGTTTAATGTTGGATATTGTGTTCTGAGTTTTGTAAGCACTGATTGGTTGAATATGGTTAGTATTCTGCCTGTTACGAATGGCCTAAGAGGTGATCACATTGTAAGATTCGAGACTATGAAGAGTAAAGGCAAAAATGGTGCAGATAGTGGCAATCTGAAACAACACAGACAATGCTGGACAAACCCAACAAGTCTGGTAGCATCTGTGGAAAGTGCAACTTTGTTAGTATTTCAAGTGTGGTATGACATTTCTTCAGAATGAGCTGAGGTTTATGAAGGGGGCTTGACTGAGTAGACATAGAGGTTTTACTTTAGCCCTGCTTGGGGTATCTGGAACAAAGGAGCACTATTTCAGGGGAAAGGATCGGACTGAGATGAGGAAAAGTTTATTCGCTCAGTGTTGCGAATTTGAGGAATTCTCAGCCCCAAATGGTTATGGATGCTCCAGTATTGAATATATTTTAGATTGGGATAGTCAGATTTTTTGATTCTCTGTCAGAATTAAGAGATTTGAACAGCATGCAAGAAAATGGGGTTGAAGCACCAAATTTAGCCATGATCATATTGTATGTTTTGAGAACATTTGAGAACTATTTAAAGTCCTGTCCATAGCTTTAGTTATATAATTGAGTGGGCATTCGTCTGAGCCCAGTTTAAGTGGACCAGAATATTTCCCTCTTCCCTTAGGACATTAGATAATCATTTGAAAAGAAACAATGTATAGGGTATGGGGGAAAAAAGCAGGGGAAAGGGACTAGGTCATGATGTTCATTTGAAGAGCCAGTGCAGACATGATGGGCCAAATGGTCACCTTCTTCACTGTAACACTTCTGTGAGTCTAAGTACAGGCATCAATGCTCCTTGAATGGAGACTTCTTTCTCACACACCTATCTTTGAGCCACATGTTTAATATAATCTGCTTGGCCCTAAGCCATTTGACACATTGCTTAAGTGACAATCCAGATGATCACCTTTCATGTTCTGCCTTTTCATTTGAAATGTAATTTCCCCAAATTGCAATACAGAACTTCAGTTCTACTTGTGTTCTACCATACTAATTTTACCTCTGTCTTTGGTTCCCATGTGGACCACTGGATCTTCCTGCTCCCCCTCCAAGTCCACCTTCAGCCAAGAGGAGCTGGCTTTACATCTGACAACAGGCAGGCAACACAATCTTTGCAGTTTCCAGCGTAACTGTCTATCCCCCTGACTAAACTGTCTCCCATTTATACCTCATTTATTTTTGATCCCCCACTGGAGTGGCCTCCTTAACCATAGTATCGTAGTCATTTTATCTACCCTGCAGTCCCTCTTTTCACCCACACAGGCAATATACACCTCCTGCTTGTTGGACAAGGTCAGAGGCTGGGGCTTCTCCATCACTATCTACCTGCTGGATCCCCACAATTGTGCAGCTGGCAGTCACACAGCCTCATTTCCGAATATTGACCAATTTTAAAGTTTTGACTGTGGCCTCAACTTCACTTTCCAGTTTACCCCTTGTAACATTTGATTCCCTTATCAATTAAGAACCTGTCAAAATCAGTCCTAAAGTATCCAATAGCCCAACCTCCACTACTCTCTGGGTGAAGCGAATTCCACAAACTAATGACCCTCTCAGAAAAGAGAATCTTCTCATCTCAACATCTTAAATAGGAGACCCTTATTTTTAAATGGTGTTTCTTAGTCCAAGAAGAAACATTCTATTGCATCTCCCCCATCAAATCCCTTCAGGGCTCCCTCATTCTTCTAAAGTCAATTCTTGTCTTATTTGTTTTGGTGTCACATTTGTTTGATAATGCTTGTATGTAACCTTGAGGTATTTTACCACATTAAAAGTGCTGTATTAGCATACAGTGATGTTAGTGAGAACAAGAATTTCAGGAGCTCAATACTGTCACTTGCAGGGTCATGTTGATACTGCAGCCTTTTGTAAACAGTTTTAGTTCCTGGAATGATCTTTAAAACTAAGTTTTCAGACAAAGATTTGCTTTGATTGAGAGATGTGTGTTATTTCCGAGGTTTCTTTTCTTCCTCTCTTCCACAGCTTTTGTGGATGATGTTATGTTGTGTTTTCCTCCTAGGTTCACTCTGTATTTGGCTCCAATCCTGCACCATGCAAAGAAGTTGTAAGTCTCACTGTTTAAACATTAATTCTATCTTATCAGGTATTAAACGCTGTACAAAAATGTGTTTTTAACTGAGTGATGCAATGGTCAGAGCTAAATAAGCCAAAGGAACCTGTTTGAGTTGTGACTGAGACTGAGTGGCTGTTCAATAGTTCAATGTCAAACTTTATTACATGCACCTAGAAAGCAAATAAAACAACAAAAATACAGATATTGAAGTTGGACAGTACTCAGAGCTTCCTGTGACGAGAAAAACAAATCATACTGAGCTGTGAACAGTCCCTACAGAGAGACTTTGGCCTTGAACATTCTCTTGAGAGTGGCCCCCATAATTTGGATGGGTCAGTCCAGTTTATGTGAAAGGACACCCCCACGCTCTTCCAAGGTTATTCAATACTCCCCACACCCCTCATCTTCTTCTCCCTCAGCTGCAACAGAAGCTCATGTCAAGAGCAAACCATGAGAACAAAGAGGCAGTAGAAGCTTTTGACCATCCAGCCACTCAGGCACTTGAGGAGGCTGACAGGAGGATGGAGATAGGAGCCGTGTGCAGGCTGCTCATGTCCAGTGCGACCTTTGTAAATCTATCGACTTTTCTCCAACCCATCATAGGAATTTCCACTAGTGGTTACAGGCGGCAGGCGAAATCGCTCCAAGGTGAGTTGGATGGTATCACATGGGCAATTTATGTGCCTTGCTGGTGTGGTGGCTGCTGAGGGTTTGGAAAGGGCGAAACCAAATTAGAGCCAGATCTGGACAGGCATATTTACCCATGTACTGCTACTATGGCAACAAGCTGAACAAACTAGACGGGTGTCTCAAATTGACTTTTGACTCATTTTAACAAACTGGTGCAGACACAACGTGCTGAATGATCTCTTTCCATACCATAAAACTTCTGTGATTCTGTGACTTGTTTCCTAAGTAGTCGCATTGGCTGCAGAACAGACTGATCAGTGTGAACTCAGTTAGTTAGCAACACAGAATATTTACAGCAAAGAAGGAGGCCACTACTGTCTTGCCCCAAGCCTAATTCCACTTTCCAGCACTGGGTCCATAACCCTGTAGGTTACAGCATGTCAAGTGTAAATCCAAATACTTTTTTTTTCATTTTGGTGAGAGTTTTTTCTTCTATCACGCCTCCTGGCAGCAAAGTTCCAGACACCGAACACTCTCCAGGTGAACAGAACACTTCTTTAATCTGTTTTCTATTCAGTCTGCTATGACACACCTGAGGAACAGATGAGACTTGAACCAGGGAGTGTAGAGACACTACCACTGCACCACAAGAGGCCTTAAATCCTATAATCTAAGCTAGTTATGTTAACTCCATGCTTCCTACCTATTGACCTCTCTAATAGGGAAATAAGTCCTCTCCATCTATCTAGCTCCTAATTAGACTGCTTCTAAATTTGCACAACCTCTATTAAATCTCCTTCTTGTGGTGCAAGATTAGAAAAGTATGTCAAAAAAATTATGACCCTACACTTCCCAGCCTTCTTGTGGTGCCGTGTTAGTGTTTCTACCCCTAGACCACAGGGTTCAAGTTCCAACTGCTCGAGGGATGTTTAATAACGTCTCTGAACAGGTTGATTAGAAAAATACATTCAACAAAAATTAAATCTCTCTCTTGGGCCTCATGTTGTACAGTAATAGTGTCCCTGCCCCTGGACCAGGAGACCTGGGTTCAAGTCCCACCTGCTCCAGAGGTGTGTAATAATATCTCTGGGCAGGTTGATTTGAAAAATAGGTTAAATAAAAATAATTTATTAAACCTCCCTCTCAGCCACCTCTGTTCCAAATGTAGCAGCCTCAGCCTATCCAGTCATCCCTCATCACTAAATTCTCCATTCCTTTACAACATCCTTTTAAATTCCCTCTGCTTATCTCTGATTGTGATCGTGATTGATTAGGGAAAGTCAACGTGGCTTTGTGCGTGGGAATGGTGTCTCACAACCTTGAGATTTTTGAAGAAATGACAAAAAAAGATTGAAGGCAGAGCAGTAGACGTTGTCTGTATGGACTTCAACAAGATGTTCAATAAGGTTCCACGTGGTAGACCGGTTAGCAAGGTTAGATTACATTGAATCCAGGGGGAGCTAGCCAATTGGATACAAAATTGGCTTGAAGGTAGGAGATAGACAGTGGTGGTGGAGGGTTGTTATTCAGACTGTAGGCCTGCGACCTGAGATATGCTGCAAGGATCAGTGCTGGGTCCACTGCTCTTTGTCATTTATATAAATGATGTGAATATTGGAGGTATAGTTAGTGACACCAAAATTGGTAATGTAGTGGACAGTGAAGGGTTACCTCAGAGTACTTCAGACCTTGATCAAGTGGGCCAATGGGCAGAGGAATGGCAGTTGGAGTTTAATTTAGATAAATATGAGGTATTGCATTTTGGTAGAGCAATCAGGGCAGGACCTAACTAGTTTTCAGCAGGGGCCTGGGGAATGTTGCTGATAAAAGGGACATAGGGTTGCGGGTCTATAATTTCTTGAAAGTGGAGTTGCAGGTAGATAGGATGGTAACGAAGATGTTTGGCAGGCTCACCTCATTGGTCAGTGCATTCAGTATAGGCGTTGTTTGTACAGGACATTGGCTAGGCAATTTTTAGAATACTGTGTTTGATTCCGGTCTCCGTGCTATAGGAGAGAAGTTATTAAACTTGAAAGGATTCAGGAAAGATTTATAAGGATATTGCCAGGATTGGAGGGTTTGAGCTGTAGGGAGAGGCTAAATAGGCTGGGGCTTTTTTCGCTGGAGTGTCAGAGGCTGAGGTGTAATCTTGTAGAGATTTATAAAATGAAGAGGAGCATGGAGTCCCCAGGGTAGGGGACTCCAAAACCAGAAGGCATAGGTTTAAGGAGAGAGGGAATGATTTAAAAGGGACCGAAGGGGCAACGATTTCATGCAGAGGGTGGTGCGTGTATGGAATGAGCTGCCAGAGGAAGTGGTGGAGGCGTTTACAATTACAACATTTAAAAGGCACCTGGATGGGTGCATGAATGGTAAGGGTTTAGAAGGACATAGGCCAAATGCTGGCAAATGGGACTAGACCTCATTTTAGGATATATGGTCCTCATGGATGAGTTGGACTGAAGGGTCTGTTTCCATGCTATACAACTCTACAACTCTATGTATTTCCTGTAAAATGGTGACTGTACTAATATGTTGGACTAACACAAGGAGCTCCTTGATACATTCCTTTCACATTAAAATCATAGAATTGCTACAGTGTGGGAGCAGGCCATTTTACCCATCAAGTCCACACCAACCCTCCCACCCCACCTCCAAACAGCATCCCACCCAGAACCACCTACCTATCCCTGTAACTCTGCATTTCCCATGGCTAATCCACCTAAGTCTGTACATCTTTGGACTGAGAGAGGAAACCAGAGCACCTGGAGGAAATCCACGTATGCATAGGAAAAACATGCAAATCCACAAAGACAGTTGCTGAGGTTGGAATTGAACCCAGGCCCCTGGTGCTGTAGGTAGCAGTGCTAGCCACTGTGCCACCCCCACTCTCTCTCCCTCTCTGAGCCTAACTGGGAGGTGCTACTGAAAAGTTTCATTGAAATTCAAATGGATTTGGGATTGAAGTTGAAACATTATTGTTCTGCATAAGGTAGATCTCCATTCATATCCTGAGGATCAGGGAGAGAGCCATGGTCCATATTTGAGCCTGAGCACCAACATTTTCATCCAGGTGCCACCGTTAGTGCTGAGTTAAACCTTGAAGCCTGGGAGTTTAACTGATTGTTTCATCCTTTCCCCTCACTCATTCTGCCTGGGACTGGCTGAATTTCTCACACCAGCGAGAATGCTGATTAGCTCTGACTTGTTGCTCTGGTGCATGACCCGTCTTTGATTTTTGTTTGAATCTGATCACTTTTGTTGTGTTTTGTTCTTTCTATGTTGGAATAACAAGGGGCTTCTGTGCTGGAGTGAATTAAGGCCCAGGATTAGTTTGTGGTGTTGATACTCACTGTGTAAACCATCACACGTTAAGGTGGACGTAGACATCGACTCTTTCATCAGGCAGCTGTGCTTATTACAAGCAATCTTTGCCGTTGTTGAATTGCATTTGACTTCAATTTGCTTAAATGTTCACAAAGCTGAACACGTTATTAAAATTTGCAACTCAAACTCTCATCTGATGTAGTTATTTGCCCTGCCTTCAACATTGGTACTGATGAAAAAGTTATGTCTTTCTGCATGTCTAAATGTATCCAAATCATTACAAAAACAAATGAATCACTCCGTCCATGAGAAATCTGAAAAAGTGCATTAGAAATTGACTCTCCACCAGTGACATAGTTACTGTCTACAGGATGAACTGCAACAACTCACCAAGATCCTTTGCCAATACCCTCCAAACCCATGAGTTCTACTACCTAGAGAGCCAAGGTCAGCAGATATGTGCGGGCACCATTTACTCTCCAAACAACTCACCATCCTGATGTGGAAATATATCTCTGTTCCTTTACTGTTGCTGGGTCGAGTTTCTAGAACCCCTCTCTAAGAGCATTGTGGGCATACCTACACTTCAAGGATTGAAGGGGCAACCTTCTTGAAGGCAGTTAGGGGTAGGTAATAAATGCTGGCCTAGGCGATGACACCCACATTGTGTGAATGAATGAATAAAAACTGTGCCAGTGACAGATTTGACAGATTTAGGGAATTTGCACATTTTTAAAAAATGCATTCAGGGATTGAAGATGTCGCTGGGTGGACCAGGATTTATTAACAATTCCTAGTTTTCCTGGAGAAAATAGTGGTGAGCTGCTGTCTTGAACTGCTGCAGTCTATGTGCTGAAGGTGGATCCACAATACCTTTAGGGAGGGAGTTCCAGGATTTTGACCCAATGACACTGAAGGAATGGCATATATTTCCAAGTCAGGATGGTGAGTGGCTTGGAGGAGAACTTGCAGGGTTGGTGTTCCCATCTGCAAATCCATTTGTGTGTTCAATGAAAAATCAAATACTAACTTTTTTTTGTTTTTCAGAAACCACCCAGTCAAGTGACCGTGTCTAATCCAGTGAGTATTTAGTTCAGCTTTTTTGTAAAACCTGTGTCCTCTTTTGTGCAATATTAAAGTTGGATCATGTACTTATTTCTGCTGAAAGTGAATGACATATTTAAATAGAAAAAGAGAGGGAAAGAGATGGAAGTTATTGTTAGGAACAATGTATAACTTTAATTTATATTTTGCATATTTTTGTGTTAGGAGGGAGGCATGATTTTAGTTTCTGTTCCCCTACCATCTTGCTCTCTCCTGTCTCTCTGTAATTCCACAGCCTAACCCATGGTTGCACACCCCATTCACATCCCCACCCCACCTCACCCTCCTCTACTCTGATGAAGAGTCACCAGACTCAAAACGTTAACTTTTGCTTTCTTCCCAAGGATGCTGCCAGACCTGCTGAGTTTCTCCAGCAATGTCTGTTTTTGTTTCAGATTTCCATCATTCACAGTTCTTTGTTTTAATTACTCTACTACTCATCTTCCCTTACTTCCATTCTCTCTGCCCCAGTCTCTTCCCACTCTCATTTCTCTGCCCACCCTTCACTACCAGCTTCCCTCCATCCACTCTCTTTCTCCCATAACTTTCTTACCAACCCTTGACACCTTTCGCTCACTTCCACTTCATTCCATTCTTCCTTACCACCCTTCTCTATTCCCCACCTGTCTGTTCTTCCCTTCCTGTCTGTATTCCCCCAACCACCTTGCTTTTCAATGCTCACTGTCCCTCCCTTGGTCTTTGGCTCTTCGTTCCCTGCCTTGCAAACCCTTGTTTTCTGCCACTTGACCTGATTCATTGTAAGCAGAAGCAAAAATAGAAGTTGCTGGAAATGCTCAGCAGGTCTGGCAGCATCTGTGAAGAGAGATCAGAGTTAACATTTTGGGTCCAGTGACCCTTCCTCTGGTTCTGAGGAAAGGTCACCGGACTCAAAACTCTGATTTCTCTTCAGAGATGCTGCCAGACCTGCTGAGATTTTCCAGAAACTTCTGTTTTTGTTTCTGATTTACAGCATCCACAGTTCTTTCAGTTTTTATTGTAAGCAGAGGCTTTTTGAAATGCACCTTATCCACTTACTCTCCATGAACTGTTCCCACTTCCTGTGGTGGTTAGACTCCCTTCTCCGCAAGGCATTGGAGGGTTGTTTTCTGGTGTCAAAGAATCTTGCACCAATGCAAGCTAAAAAGAATAGTTGGATAAATTTTGATTCAAATTTCCTGGAATCCAGTGTCTGGGAATCTCCAGGTCTCAGTTTTGCCACTGTTGCTTTAAGAATATGCTTTCTCCACACACTCCACTGATGGAGAATCAAAGCTGGATTCCTCTGGAAGTGAGTAACTTGGAATCACCTCCACCTGACAGACTGCCATTTCGTTTTCAGATGGTTCCATACCAGGCATACATAGGAAGTATCAAGCCGCAGCAGAAAATAAAAATTATTGGGACCGTGAAAGCCAAACCATACAGGTGTGGAAATTGAAAAGAAGACTGTTTTTAAAAACAAACTGTTTAATGTTCTTTACAAGTTGTGTGAAACGATTTGAACCCCATTGTAGGACAAGCCAGTTTGGCTAACACCTCAATTTCACAAGTCTCAGCCTTGTGCTCTATTCCTCTCGTAGTCTCATCCTGCTGAATCTTCATAAACATCACCACCCTTAGATTCTCTAGTCTCCATGCTTTTCTTAATTTTGGCCTTTTACATATCCTTATTTCTCCTTTGTAGTGTTGTGGTGATGTCACTGGACTAGTAATCCAGAACCCCAGACTGATGACATGTACTTAAATCCCACCATAGCAGATGGCGAAATCTGAATTCAATAAAAATCAGGCATTAAAATCTGACCATGTATCCACTGTTGATTGTCATAAAAACCCATCTGGTTCACTAATGGAGAAGGGAATCTGCCATCCTTAGTCATCTGGCCTATATGTGACTCCAGACCCACAGCAATGAGGTTGACTCTTACTTGCTGTCTGAGTAATTCGGAATGGCCTGGTAGTGACGTTCGCATCCCATGAATAATAATAATAGTTCAAAAAAGATCAGCAGTTCCAAACCTTTTTCTTAATTGGATCCCATTTCAAGGATGCAATATTGTCACGACCCCTAAGACCTGAGAGAATTCATGGAGGTGGGATGGTGGGGTCAGACCATTTTACTACAGGAGCCAGGGTTTTGAGTTTGGGTTTGCTTTGGGTCATTTAGGCATTTTGAATAACCCCACAGTTGGTCACTTGGTCGTCACTCCATGGTGGCCGTTGCTGCTGTAGGTCATGCCCCCAACATTTTGGCACATGATTCCCACTTTGGAATGCTCTGCTTTACTTGGTTTGGTTCCCAAATTAAGTTCTTTCAGTGATTATGTTGATATAAGTGCCCATAATGTAGGAGCAGTGAATGTGTTTGTAATTTCAATACAATTTGAATTCAACATTACTCCTTGTTTGATATCTGATCCACTGCTCCCCAGTTACTTATGGAATTTGTTTGTCTATTTTTATTACTAGAAAGATTGTTCTATGTTTTTAACATTGTTTTTACATAGTCTCAACTTGAATGCTTCATGTAAGTGACTCCGATGTTCAATCTTCAGGGAGTGAACATGTTCCTTGGGTCACCTGTTGTAATTTTTATTTAGAGCAGAGGAGGCCTCAGGAAGATGTAACTGAGACGTGTAAAATTATGCAAAGCCCAGCTAAGAGTGTCCAGGAAGCACCTATTCAATAAACTAGAGTCATAGATGTTCAGTAATTCTTGAAAGGATTAGAGAGGAATAGAACATACCTTTTTTACACATTAGATGTGGTTGATTTCTTGAAAGAGTCATTTAGAAGCGGAAAACCACATCATGTTTAAAAAGTAGGTGAATATTATTAATCCTGATTTCCTTTGCCTCACCATTGACGGTCCCTAAGTTCTAAAATTCTCTACCTAAACCTCTCAGCCATTCTATCCTTCATGAAAATCAAATCATTTCCCAGTTGATGTTGTGCCTGTTTCATTCCAGGTTTACCATTAATCTGAAGGTGAGTTATTATGATAACATTGCCCTCCACATCAATCAAAGATTTGATGAAAATGCAGTGGTGAGGAACAGTCGCATAAACCAGAACTGGGGCACGGAGGAGAGGAGCCTGCCATTTCTCCCATTTTTACCTGGTCAAACATTTGAGGTATGCTTTCTGTGTGTTGAGTGGTCTTGATCAGACTTGCTGTGCATGAAATAAAAGCAAAATATTGGAGAAACTCAGCAGGTCTGGCGAGATCTGTGGAGAGAAACAAAGTTAATGTTTCGAATCCAGTATGACTCTTCTTTAGAACTGTTCTGAACTTGGAACGTTAATTCTCATTTTCTCTCCACAGAATTTGTCAGACCTGCTGAGTTTCTCCAATACATTATTTTTATTTCAGTTTCCAGCTTTTATTTGCTGTGAATGAGGCTGGTTTTGGAGGACTGTGTGTGTTAATCTTGAGCTCAATACTGGAACAATACTGAAGAGTTTCCTGTTGAGGGGAACATTCCTAATCCCTTTCTCCCAGTGCATTCTGTTTCCATGTTGACCAAACATGGTTTGGGATTTATATTGAAGTCAAGCACTCCGCTTGACTGCAGCTCAAGCACTTGAGGCTGGGCAGATGAGATCCCTCCTCCACACCCGGCTATCTCCTATCCTAGTCTCCCAGGTGTGGATCTAGCATCACATCAGGCGAGTGCAGACTGTAGTATAAATCCAGTCCAATATAAAGCTGTATCTTAAATCAATCTGCGTGCCTGGGCTTGCTGGAGTCTTTTTGAAGAGGTGGCAGAAAGGGTTGATGAGGGTAACACCGTGGGATACATGGATTTCCAGAAAGCATTTGACTCACAAGATTTTTGAGGAAAGTCATGGGTCACTATATGAAAGGGACACTGGTAACAAGATTCAAAATTGGTTAAGAGAAAAAAAACAGGAGTAATTATCAATAGTTATATTTCAGGCTGAAGGAATGTTTGTAGTGTAGCTCCCCCGGGGTCAATCTTGGGACCCTAACTTTCCTGATGTATATTAATGATTCAGATCTTGGTGTCAGTGGATAATTTCCAAGATTTCAGATGACACTACTTGGAAGAATCGTGAGGAGGATAGAGTGGATCTCAAAAGGTTGTATACAAGTTACAGTGGATGGATAGGTGGTAGACTAGTTTTGATTCAGAGAAGTGTGAGGTAATGCACTTTGGTCAGAAGAACACTGAAAGACAATACAAAATAGGGAGTATAATTTTAAAGGGGTTGCAGAGGCAGAATGAGCTGGGTGTGTACGTGCACAGATCATTGAAGGTAACAGGATAAGTGGAGAGAGAAATTAATAAAGTACACAGCGTCCTTGGCTTTGTTAATACATTACAAGAGCAAGGGAATGATGTTGAACTTGTACAAAACACTTGTTAGACCTCAGCTGGAATATTTTATACGGTTGTGGGTGACACATTATAGGAAAGATGTGAATGTATCAGGGAGAATGCAGAGGTGATTTGCTGTGAATAGTTTCAAGTATGAGAAACTTCAGCTATTAGGATAGATAGAAGAAGCTGGGACTGTTCCCTAGAGAGAAGAAAGCTGAGAGGAGATATGATTGAGGTTTTCAATATCATTAGAAGGCTGGATTTGATTTGATTTGTTTTATTATTGTCACATGTACCTAGGTACAGTGTTTTGTTTTGTGTGCAGTATAGGTAGATCATATCATATAAAGTGCACTAGGGTAATAGAACAGAGCAATGAATACAATGCTACAGCTGCAGAGAGGGTGAACAAAGAACGAAATCAACATTAAATTTAAAAAATTGAGAGCTCCATTCAGAAGTCTAATAACAGTGGGAAGAAGCTGTTCTTGAATCTGTTTGTATGTGTGTTTAAGCTTTTGAATCTTCTGCCTGACAGAACAGGTTGGAAGAGATTATAACTGAGGTGGGAGGAGTCTTTGATTGTGTTGGCTGCCAAGGCAGCAACAAATATAGATGGAGTCAATTGATGGAAGGTTGGCTGGCTGGCATTATGGACAGGGCTGTGTTCACAACGCTCTGTAGTTTCATACAGTCCTTGGCAGAGAGTTGCCATACCAAACTGTGATGTATCTGGATAGAATGCTTTCTCTGGTGCATCTATAAAATTGTTAAGAATCTTTACAGAATTTCCTTAGCCTCGTGAGGATTTAGAGGTGTTGTTGTGCTTTCTTGAGTGTTGCATCAATATGGGTGAACCATGACAGATTATTGGTGAGCATCACTCCTAAGAACTTGAGATGCTCTCGACCATGTCCACCTCACAACATTGATGTAGACAGGGGCATGCCCTTCACCTTGTTTTCTGAAGTCAACGACCAGCTCTTTCATTTTGCTGATGTTGAGGGAGTGATTGCTATCTTTACACAACACCAACAAGCACTCTATCTCTTTTCTGTTATTCTGTTTCATCATTGTTTGAGATCTGGCCTACTATGCTGGTGTCATCAGCAAACTTATAGATGGAGTTAGGATGAAATTTAGCCACACAGTCATGGGTGTATAGAGAGTATAATAAGGGTCTGAGTATGCAACTTTGCGGGGTGCTGGTGTTGAGGATTTTGTGGTGGAGGTGTTGTTGCCTGTTCTCACTGATTGCCGTGTGTGGGTCAGGAAGTTGAGGATCCAGTTTATACGGTGGAATAGAGACCTACGTCTTGGAGTTTGGAGATTAGTTTGGCTGAACTATAGTGTTGGAGGCAGAGTTGTAGTCAAAAAGAAGGAACCTGACATAGGTACCCTTGTTAACCAGATGTTCCAGGGATGAGGGTAGGGCCAGGGAGATGGATAGAGTAGATGGGTAAAGCCATTTTTATTTGTAAAAGAAACACAAATGAGAAGGCATTGATTTAAAGTGATGTGAAAATGAAGTAATGGTGATGTAAGAAGAATCTTTTTCACACAGCAAGAAGGCAGGGTAAGGAGTGCCCTGCCTGGAAATATGGTGGAGGCAGGTTCAATCACAGCATTCAAGAGGACATAGGATGATTATTTGGACAGTAATGATGTTACAGGAATATGGGGAAATGGCTTGAGATAGGCAATAGGTAATAGAGCTGGCGCAAGCATGATGGGATGAATGGCCTCCTTCCACACCATAACAATTCTGTGGTTCAGCAATTCCACAAGAGTTGGAATTGAAATGCTGAAAGGTTACAAAGAATGTGAAGAGCCTTGGTTAAGCCACATGGTATACATTGCATAGCCTGCTCTCCATTTGCTAAAATGGATTCACTAACATGATACCAGAACTGGGAGGTTGGAGCCAGCAGATTGAATAGGCTGGGGCTCTTTGCTCTAGAAGAGAGATTGAGAAGTTAGAGGGTAAGAGGTGACTTGTTTGAAACATATAAGATTCTGAGGGGTCTTAACAGGGTTGTTTGCTCTTATGGAAGAATCTAGAACTGGGGTCACTGTTTAAAAATAAATCATTGCCCATTTAACAGAGAGATGAATGTTTAAAAGAAAAGTTGGCAGTAGCAGAGTTCTTTAATATTTTTGAGGCAAACTTAGGATCAACTCTTGGTAAGTAAGGGGGCGAAAGATTAACAGTGTTGAGTGGGAAAGTGGATTTGAGATTACCATCTTAAGGTGATGATCTTATTGAATGGCAGGACAGGCTGGAAGGGCTCGATGGCCTACTCTTGCTTCTTTTGCATTTGTTTGTTTATATGAGTGACCTCTTGGAAGGGTCCAAGAATATGAAAGGGTTTGTTATGTTAGAGGTAGAGGAACTGTTTCTACTGGTGGATGAGACCATAACTAGGGGCCATCAATATAATCTGGTCACTAACACATGCACTGGGGAGTTCAGGATAGATCAGAGATAGATGAGAATTTATTACCCACCATAAATGGTTGAGGTGAATAGCATAGATACATTTAAATGGAATCTTGTTGAACACAAGGAAGCAAAGAGTGGGAGCTTATTGTTGATGGAGGTTGGATGAAGAGCGGGTGGGTGAAGCTTGAACACTTAGAAGGATCACAGGGGCCAGCTGGCCTTTTCTGTCAAGTTATTACTTTGTGAGGTGCAGTAGTTTCTGTATAGGGCAAAGTGACCCCATATTCAGTAAGATTGTGATGCGACAATGTCCTTCATTGGAACATAATCATTGCAACAAAGTACCATGAAAAATCTGGTACAGAATATCCCAATACACTAACTAGCCAGCAAGTTTAAACTTCTGAGGGACAACTGCCCTGCATCTGGAATGCCTGAACAAATCTCCCTGTGAAATACACTGAGAATACACTGCACATTTCTGAAGGTTTTGCCATTGGAACCTGCACCCAGAGTGTGATCACTGGGAAAAATAATAGGTAGAATCATAGAATCCCTACATTTTGGAAAGAGGCCTCTCAGCCCTTCTAGTCTGCACTGACTATGGGTGCATCCCACAAACAACCAACCCCCAACCCTATCCCCACATTTACCAGGGCTAATCAACCTAGCCTACGTATTACTGGATACTAGGGGACAATTTAGCATGGCCAAGCCACCCAACCTAAACACTTTTGGACATGGGATGAAACCAGTGCACCCGACAGGAACCCATGCATGTACGGGGAGAACATGCAAGTTCCACACAGATAGTGACCCAAGGTTGGAATTGAACCCAGGTTCCTGGTGCTGTGAGGCAGCAGTGCTAACAACTGGTCACTATGTCATCCCAACTTATATTCCCATACTGGGAGTCAAACCTAGGTTGCTTGGATGAGAACCAGGAATCCTAACCGCTAGACCATATGGAACGTTAAACAATGCAGAAGTGATTGTTGCTCTTGGTAGATTTGGGCATTAGTATCGCCCACCGCAGCTCACACTTCCTGTTGAAAGTGGCTTCCAACTGGGAGAATCTGAGAATGGTGATTTTGCTGTTTAAACACTATCCTCATTGTAGATGCACTCAGAATTTGTAGGATCAGGTGGCACACATGGACACTATTCTGCACTTTGAGATCCACAGCCCAGCTATGGATAGACAGTTGGATTTTGATGTGCATTTTTGAGCAAGTATGGATCTTGCCTGTACATTTTGGTGGCTCAGGTGGATGTCAAAGATCCCATAGCATAATTCTAACAGTGTGAGAGTTCTCCCAATGTCCCGGTCAACCAGGCACCACCTGTCAACAAACTGATCTTGTTCTTGTTGCTAATTTTGGATACTTGCTGCGTTTAAAATGTGATGCTTTAAGTGACAAAAGACTTGACACTCCAAATGAACTCTTCTGTGTACATTCTTAGAGTCATGAGAAAATCAAATGTAAATACCTCCCCTTTGTTGCTCAGGACTGTGTATCTAATCAACTCATAGAAGGGTATTTAAAAGTTGAGAACTATTGATGCATCTTGAATTATGTCTCATTAGATGCAGATTGTGATTCAACCAACCTGTTACAAGATCTTAGTCAATGGAAGACACCTCTTCAACTTCAACCATCGTATCCAGCCTCTGAATCAGATCGATCAATTAGAGGTTACTGGTGATATCAGTCTTTCTCTTGTGCAGTACTAATATTTTGAAGTAAATATTCTGCTGAATCTCTATCCTTGGTAGAATCCTTCTCCATCCACACCAAACAAAAACAAATTATTTTAAATCCTTCTCTTCTACAAGAATAATCCTTTAATCTGAATCATAGAATCCCTACAGTGCAGGGACAGGCCTTTTGGCCCAACAAGTCTACACCAACCCTCAGAACATCCCATCCTGACCCATCCCCCTAATCTTGGCTTGAAGGCACTATTTGATTTGTTTCTTTAGAAAAGAATCAATTGAATAAAGCAAGACAGCCAGATGATGAGTCAGCAAGCACAGGGCCAATCTCCACTCCATTCCCATTTTGATATTATCGTTGATGTCCTTCAGAAAGAAGGCACTTGTTGGGGGATGAAGGAGGGAACCATTCCTGGATGGTCAGCTCGTAGGGGCACTAGGTCTCATGTTCACATGCAGCAATTTGACGGGCCGGTCTCATCAAAGAAAGATGTCAAAAGTAACCAGAGAAAGTTTTCCCAGAAACTTGAACTCTTTTTAAAGACTCCTTCAAAATTCCCTTCAAGCTTCACTGTGTCCAACCCTACAGTATAAATGATGAGTGAATAAAAGCAGTAGTTACTGGAGATGCTGGAAACCTGAAACAAACACAGAATATTGGAGAAACTCAGCCAGTCTGACAGCATCTATGTAGAGAGAAACAGAGTTAAAGTTTCATGTTGGTATGGCACTTCAGAACTGAAAAATGTTGGAATTTTTGACAAAGGCAGAATCTCAATGCAAAAGGCAAAGTGGTTGTTAATGATGGAGAAGGAAAGAAAATGGGTGTAAATGGGTGTGAAAGGGTGCTCTCTAATAAGAACAAAGTAAAGAAGACATGGCTGTGCAGGAAGTGGGGGTGGGGGGTGCGGTAGTGAATGTAAGAATTCACTGTTGAGACCTCAAGGCTGTAGAATGCCTCTGTGGAAACTAAGGTGTTGTTCCACAAGCTGGTGTTGTGCTTCGTTGGAAAATTGTAGCAGGCCCAGGACAATGTGAAGCATAACGCAAACTCAAGGTCTCAATCTTGAATTCCATAATTTCAGAAACTTGCAGTATTCTTACATTCTTTCCCCTCACTCCCCCACACAGCCTTGTCTTCATTGTGTCTTGTTTACTTTGCTTTTAGCATAGAGGGGCCATTTCCTATCTTTCACATCTTAATTTACATCTATTTTCCATGTCCTTTTTTCTTTTGCTCCATCATTGACAGCATCTTTGTCTTTTACACTGGGTCTGTGCCTCTGCTAAAAGTATAAAAAATACATTTTCCAACCCTTTTCAGTTCTGAAGAAGTCATACTAGAATCAAAATGTTAGCTCTAACATAGGGGCTGGCACACCTGCTGACTTTTACCAGCATTCTCAATGTTTTCAGTGAATGCTGCTCATCAGCAAGGAAATAAAATGGCTACTTTGGGTGTTTGAACCAAAGATCACTCAGTTGATGTCATGTAGAGGATTTGAGGATCAGAATTGCCCCTCTCCCCTTATTTCATACCCACCCCAGCTTTTTAGAAAATCATAGAATGACACAGCAAAGAAGGACTCCATTTGGTCTGTTGTGTCAATATCTTTGAGAACCATCCATCTCGTCCCATTCTCCTCTGAAAACGTACAGTTTATAAAGGAGACATTTACCATGTCATGAAGTTACTGTGGCATCTTGTTGAAATCCATGTAACATACCAAGATGGTGGCTAGCAGACAGTCCTGAGAACCCAAATATTTGTTTAAAACACAAACATTCATGAAATAAAATGCTCCCTAGTCTTTGCATGTGGAGTGTAGGAGCAGGAGGAGGCCATCCAGCCCTTCGAAGACTCTTGTTTCTAGTTATAGATTTCCACGTCCTTTTATGTAAAATGGTTCTTCTTGACATTTGCCACCCCAACCCATCCCACCCAAACATTATAGCTTGAATTTTAAGGTTCTACCCTCTTGTTCTAGACTCCCTTTGTCCCTCTCACCAGAGGTTACAGTTTCTCTCCATCTTAATATGGTAATTGCATTTAAATGTTATTGTAAACTCTATAATGACTTTTGTAAAGCAGTCTTTGTTTTATTTCAATATTGTGGCCTATATTCTGTTAACCTCACTCACTGAATGGGAAAAGCATTGTAAAGATTAAGATTGAAATTTTGAACTGCTGTTATCCTGGAACACAAACACAAATAGGCACATACACATCTCTAGCTACAAAGAGATCCAATAATTGATAGATCATAATATTTCATTGTAAGACTTAATTACATCTTTTGACAGAATTTCTGTATAATGTTCTAATGACGGAACTCTTTAAAATAAATGCATATTGACAAAAACAAATTTTGCATGTCATTTGTTTGCTCCCTCTTCAATGTTGTTGCCATGCCGTCAAACCCATGACAACTTTCATCTCAAAGGACAAGGGCAGCAGATACATGGGAACACCGCCACCTGCAGGTTTCCCTCCAAGCCATTCACCATCCTGTTTGGAAATATCTTGCCGTTCCTCCAGTGTCATAGGGACAAAATTTTGGAATTTGCTCCCTAACAGCATTCTGGGTCTACCTACAGCACATGGACTGTTAACATTTTGGGCCCAGTGATCCTCCCTCAGAACTGTTCAGGACTAAAAGATTCATGTGGTTAAAAGACAGTTCCGTCAGTATCTGGAGGAGAAAAGACAGTTCAGCATTCTGGCACAGGACCCTTGTCTGATAACTAAGAAACATAGAACACAAACCACCCCCTCACCCCAACAGATTCTGTTGCCAAAATGGTTGGAATGGAGAATAAGGAGATTGAGGTGGGGAGTTGGAGTTGGACACAGACTAGTCTCCCCAGTCTCTAGCCCCCTTACCAACCAAACTGTGCCTTCTCAGTCCCATGTGAGTGATGACAAGGGGGTGGAGTGTTATGGTGTGTCTGCATCACCAACTGGGAAGGCCAGAGGAAGGAGGCATAGGGAGCCATGTGGAGATCTAGAGGTGAAAGCTGGAAAACGGGTTTCCAGCTTGCAGTACAGGTGAACAAGTATAGCTCCTTCTCTCCAAAAACCTCTAAACAGCCTTTCTTTTAATGTTCAGGGCTAATAACCTTAAAGAAACAGTGGGTTAGTGATTATGTTACTGGAGTAGTAATCCAGAGACCGCGATTAATCCTCTGGTGACATGTAAATTTTATGTGGCAACTAGTGAAATTTAAAATCCCAATTTGCAATAAAACATAGCCTCATTAATAATGATCACGGAATTACAGATTGTTATTGAAAACTCATCTGGATGAGTCATGCTCTTCAGTGAATGAATCTACTGTCCCGAGCTGGTCTGATCTACATGTGACTCCAGACTGAAAACTAATAGTTGTCCGAAAGAACTATTTTCTGAAATGACTGAGTAAGTTACTCAGTTGTACAAAACCATGACAGAAAAGTCTTCTGGGGATAAAAGTGGACTGGTTTCATGGCATTGACTGAAACACTGGAAACAAGAACAGTGCAACCCACTCAATCAACCCCGCAAATACCTCTTTGCTTACAAAAGCAGGATCTGCGCCAAAATTCTGTTTCACAGAATAGTCAAGCCACCTTTTCATACTCTCAGAATCATACCTTCTCAACAATGTCCCAGAGGACACTGTCACCATCCTTAGGTATATGTATGTCATCTCCCATTAGCAGGACTGATCCAGCAGAGGTGATGGCTCAATGGGATACAATTGGGAAGGAGTCAGCCTGGGAATCTTCAATATTGACTTCAGAGAAGGAGGAGTGAGTGACAAGATCACCTCTGCTTAAGCTGAGAAACTCATTCCTCAGCTGGCCTGTAGCTTTCCTCCAGTGCCTCTCTTCTCCTTTGATTTCATAGAATCCCTACAGTGTGGAAACAGGCCCTTCAGCCCAACAAGTCCACTACAACCCTCAGAGCATCCCACCCAGACCCATCCCCATCCCCATCCCCATCCCCATCCCCATATAACCCACCTAATCTACACACTCCTGAACACTATGGGCAATTTAGTAAGGCCAATCCACCTAGCCTGCACGTCTTTGGACTGTGGGAGGAAACCACAGCACTTGGAGGAAACCCATGCAGACATGGGGAGAACGTGCAAGCTCCACACAGACAGTCGCCTGAGGATGGAATTGAACCCGGGTCCCTGGTGCTGTGAGGCAGCAGTGCTAACCACTGAGCCACCGTGCCGAATTGATTTTTCACTGTCATGTATACTAAAGTAGAGCGATATGTTGTCTTACCTATTTTACTGGCAGATTGTACTATACAAGTGCATCAGGGTAGCCGAACAGAGTGCAGGATACAGCTGCCAAGAAGGTGCAGAGAGAGATCAACATGAAGGTTAAAGAGGTCCATTCAAAGGTGTGATAACAGTGGGGAAGAAACTGTTTGTATACGAACTTTTTTATTTTCTGCCGGACAAAAGAGGGTATAACAGGGAAGGGAGGGGTCTTTGATTATGTTGGTTGCTTTCCTAATGCAGCAGGAAGTATAGATGGAGTCAATGGATGGGACACTGTGTGATGGACTGGGCTGTGCTCTCAATTCTCTGTAGTTTCTTTTGGTCTTGGGAAGACCAGTCTCCATCCCATGCTGTGGTGCATCCAGATAGGTGCATCTATAAAAATTTGTAAGAATCTTGATGGACATGCCGAATTTCCTTAGCCTCCTGAGAACTAGAGATGTTGCTGCACTTTCTTGACTGTAGTGTCAATGTGGGTGGACCAGGAGATATTGTTGGTGATCATCACTCCCAGGAACTTGACATTCTCAACCATCTCCATCTCAGCACCATTGATGCCGACAGGGGTGCGCTCTCCACTCTCCTTCCTGAAGTCAATGACCAGCTCTTTCATTTTGCTGATATTGATGAAGAGATTGTTGTCTTTACACCATACCGTTAAGCACTCCTGGACTCGCTATTGTTGATGCAGAGACTAAAACAATGGTTAAATCTTATGGCATCTGATCAACATAGGCACGGAAACCTTCTGCTGATTACTACCAATGATCTCCCTCAGCCAATGGATCAGAAGCCCTCCATGTTGAACATTTCTTGAAGAAAATAGCACATTGGGTGGGGAGGGGGATCTCAAGGTCCATCACCAAGGAATCACAGCTTGGTAGCACTGTGGAATCACAGAATTGTTATAGCACAAAAGGAGGCCATTACATAACACCAGCTGAATTAGAAGCAGGAGGAGGCCACTCAGCCCTTTGAACTTGCTTCACCATTCAATAAGGTAATGGCTGATCTGTCTGTTTTGAATCTTATGTTCCCATATACCCTGATAATCCTTAATTCCCCTACCTAACAAAGATATATCAACCTGTGTCTTACAAATATTCAGTGATTATTTTTTCATCCAGACAGTGGTGAGAATCTGGAACTCACTGCCTGTAAGGGTGATGGGGCAGAAACCCTCATAACATTTAAGAAGTATTTAGATGGATACTTGTGATGCTAAGGCATACAAGGCTATGTAACAAGTGCTGGAATGTGAGAATAGAATAGTTCAGTGATTATTTTTGACGGGTCGAAGGGCCTATTTCTGTGCTAGACTTCAAGACTCTCATCTCACTGCCTTCTAAGGAAGACGGTTCCAAAACTGCACAGCCTTTGAGAGAAATCGTTTCTCCTTATCCGTGTCCTAAAAGGGTGACTGCTAAGTTGTAAACAGTATACCCAAGTTCTGGTACAACAATGAAAGAAACATCATTTCCACATTCAGCTTGTCAAAACCATTCAGGATCTTATACACTTCAAGAACTATTTTTTAAAATTCTTCCTACCAAAATGTCCAACATTTTCCTCCATCTGATAGATTTTTGTTCACTCACTCACCCTATCTATGCCCCCTCGCCACCTGCCATGGGCAGAACAGTGGCTCACTGGTTAGCACTGCTGCCTCATAGCTCCAGGGACCCTGGTTCAATTCAGAACAGTGAACCTGCACTCTCTGTTCAGCAACACTCCCTAGGACCTTATCATTAAGTGTATAAGTCCTGCCCTGATTTGTCCTACCAAAATATAGCACCTCACAATTATCTAGATTAAACTCCATCTGCCACTTCTCAGTGAGTTCTGTCGAGTTTCTGAACAATGGTAACTCCCAAGATGTTGGTAGCAGGGGTTTCAGTGATGGTAACACCATTGAATGCTGATTGTAATAAGATCATTCCAATACATGGTATTTTCTGTGTATAAGAAACTTTCACATTATTTTGTTAAAACTACACTGGCAGCCTCATGTGATTATACAACAAAAAGTGCTAGAAAAATTCAACAGGTCTGCTAGTATCTGTGGAGAAAAAAGCAATGTTAATGCTCCTCCAGCTCCACACTGTGTTATCTCTGACTCCAGCATCGGCAGTTCTTACTATCTCAAAGTAAAAGTTATGGTCTGTCAAGCTGGGTTTCACTCTGGGAGTTGACATGTCCATTATTATCATCAATGCTGGGGTCATAATATGAATTGCAAGGAGAAAATACAGGAAGGATCAGAAATAGTTCAAATACAGACTGAGTAAACTCTCTCATACACAAAGCAGCTCAACGGTCTCTCCGCAGAGTAAAGTTGTCAATGTGTCAACAAACCATCTTTCCTGTTGTTTCTTTATCTTTCCTTTTGCATGTAGAAAAGTGAACAAACTGGTGTGCCACAAGGCCTGATAGCTGAAAGAACCTGTTCCCACAACAGAACAGGTAAACAGTCTCCAGTGTGACTACATCAATTAACTTACAGCTTTGAAAGGGAACTGTATCCTTTCCCAGTTTCCAAATTTGTATGGATTATGAATTATGAAGGTGCCCTTTTGTATCTCCATGTCAGATGATCAATTGAAGTCTCAGTGCCATACAAGCACACTTTTATAATCATCTTGTTCATGGTTCTGAAGAAGGGAGATTCACTAGAGTTCATACACCCTCCAATTTTCTTGCAAACCACCGAGACTCCGTTTTTAGTTTCCCCTTTTTTATTAAACATTTACAGGGGAGAATGGACAACTAGTCAGGCTGAGATAAAATCTACCAGATTCAAATACAAATAAGTGCTTTGCATTTCATTCTTATTGTAAATGATAACATTGATCTCATTATTGATCTGCTTTGGTAAACATCCTGCACACACTAACTTGTTATACCACCTTATCACAATTTATTTTACCTACGTCATTTCATGTAAGGTACTAGCTACATTCTTGCGGTATCATTTAACCCCTTTTGTACCAGTTAGGCAGTGACATTATCATTGGGTCTAACCAGTTCGAGATCAGAGTCATACAGCACGGAAACACCCTTCTGTCCAACTTGTTCATGCCAACCAAGTCTCCTAAACTAAACTAGGCCCACTTGCCTGCATTTGGCCCATATCCCTCTAAATCCTTCCTATTCATGTACCTATCCAAATGTCTCTTAAATGTCATAACTCAACCCGCATCTACCACTTTCTCTGGAAGTTCATTCCATACATGAACCACCCTGTGTGTGAAAAGGCTGTCCCTCAGGTCCCTTTAAAATCTTTCTCCTCACCTTAAAAATATGCCCCTAGTTTCCCACTCTAGGGAAAAAAAAATTGCTATTCACCTTATCCATGGCCCTCATGATTTTATAAACTTTTATAAGGTCACCCCTCAACCTCCAATGCTCCAGTGAAAAAAAGTCCCAATCAATTCAGCCTATCCTTTTAACTCAAACCCTCCAGTCCTGGCAACATCCTGGTAAATCTTTTCTGAACTCTGTCCAATTTAATAATATTCTTCCCGAAAGCAGGGTGACCAAACCTGTACACAGTACTCCAAAAATGACCTCACCAATGCCCTGTACAACTGCAACATGACATCCCAACTCCTATACTCAATGGTCTGAGCAATGAAGGCAAGTTTGCTAAATGCCTTAACCACCCTGTCTACCTGTGACACAACTTTCAAAGAACTATGTATCTGAACCCCTAGGCCTCTCTGTTTGACAACACTACCCAGGGCCCTGCCATTAACCACATAAGTCAAGTTGCCTCTTGAGAAATGAATTAGTTCGGGGCTTATTGGATTCTGCTATTGCTGCTGTGAATCAACATCCAGGACTGAACCCTTACTCCACTTGAATTCTGATTTTTTTCAGTTCTCTAACCTTTGGTTACTTTAATGAGCATCTCTCAGGTAGGTCCATCTTACCTCTGGTATCCAGAGAAGGTATTAGTAAAACATCCGGAATTACTAGACCAAAACCCAGGCTGGACATCACTTTCAACTACTGGACTTAGTGGGTGTCCCACATCATCTCTCAACTTACATGTATGAATATAGCATCACCAGCAAAACTGCTGAAATTTAATCTCAGAACGCATATTTAACAGGATCCTGCAGGTTGATGAAGTTCTGTTAAGCTGCAAGTGTACTGCTGTACTGCAATGCATTTTGCCTGTAGCAAAAAGTGACTGAACTATTGTCCAGGTATAACCTTTGTCATTTATGGGTATATTAATGAATCTGACATCCTTGCTAATGTCAGCTGCATTTTGTTAAAAGGGGGTGAATAACATGTGAAGGAGACGTTCCACTCTTCCTAACTCACACTGGGATCCACAGTTGCTATGGTGACTGGTCCCCATTGACATCTCTCCTTGGGTAGGGGTGTTTCATGGCATCTGGGGAGGAATGTTTATCTTGGTGGGCTGGAAAGGGTGGTGTTGATGGTCATGGGCAGGATCTGAAGCATTGCTGCAGATGAAGGAGCCTTTGAAGGGTAGTTCTGAGTACTGGACTGACTGGACTAGAGTCTGCAGCAGCAGAAGGAGGGAGAAGGATCAGGAAACCAAACGATGGAAGCCTGAAGCCACAGTTAGGACAGTTTGTGGACAGTGCGGAATCACCCTGAATCTGAGAATTTGGAATGTGGGCATTGCTGGTAAGGCCAGTTTTTGTTATCCATTCCTATTTGTCCTGAAATTGAATGGCTTGCTAGACCATTTTAGAAGATGGTTTGCTGTGGATCTGGAGTTCTATGTAGGCCAGGCTGGTTAAGTCTGTTATGCCAAGCTTTTATTAACTATTTTATCCCCTCCTGAATTGTTCCTTTCACATACACATTGCTAAAAGGACTTTCTGCTGCCATATTCATAACTATTACATTCATATTTGTACACATATGTCTGAATCCTTCATTAGCAAAACTCCCCGCTCCATTATCAGTGAAAAATTGAATCAGTGTTCCAAGTTGCTCCTTATCTAGTTTTCCATTACCATATCCACAACTTTTTTCTTATCTTTATGTATTATTGTTAACAGACAAAATCTGGTGGTCATATCTGTAAAATATAAAAGGAATTTATTGCTTTGTTCTGCATATTCATGTCCATAGCCACTACTTCATTATAATCTCTTGCTAAGCTTAGACTTACTGTAGACTGGTATTGTAGAATCATACAATACAAAACAGAAGGCTGCAGTAAAAAAAACCCCATCAACTGTCCACAGTAATCCCACTTTCCAGCACTCAACCCATAGCCTTGAATATTATGACATTTCAAGCGCTCATCCAAGTACTTTATAAAGGTTGTAAGGTTTCCGATCTGGCAGTGCATTCAAGATTCTCACTATCCTCTAAGTGAAGCAACTCTTCTTCAAATTCCCCCACAGTGAGATCTGGAGGACAATGGCAAGGCAGCTGGTGAGTCCAGAGCAGAACTCTGGAATTAGCATTGAGGTGATGGTTGATGGAGGGGTGAGCATGGGGATTCAGTACTGGCAGCCATATTGGCAAGACCTGTGGCAGCTTTGGCATTGAGGTGGTTTTGGCTTTGGAATCCTTTGGGTGGCTTTTGCAATGTCTACCCAGGATTGGCGACAAGATTAGTCCTTGGAGCAGCTTCCGTGGAGTCTTGTGGCCTAGTGCGGATTGCTTGCTTCAGCGGAGGCTACTGGCCCGGTATCCCAGCAGCCCAGCTTGACAATCTTGCAGTAGTACTGTCTTTTCCTGAACCTAGGAGTTGGAAACTGAACTAAGATGGACTTTTTCTTAAAAATTAAGATACATTTTTTCTTATCCATGTCTTATGTTATTAATATAGGTGCCATGGTGTGGTGATTTAAACACTTTTCACTGTTCTTTTTTGTTTAAAAAATGCAGGTGGCAAAAAATGACTATTCTATTTCACCTTTGTCAAGCCTGCGTACCAAGAATCAGACCATACCCGTCTTAAAAAAATGCTCCATGTCTCTGCTTCCACCACCTTTCCAGGAAGAGAGTTCTAAAGACTCATGACCTTATGACAGAAAACATTTCAACTCATCTCTGTTTTGAATGCACAGTAAGAGATCCTTTCCACATCTACCATATCAACTCCTCAGGATCTTATAGGTTTCAATCAAATAGCCTCTAACTCTTCTAAACTCCAGCAGAATCATACCGAGCCTGTCTAACTTTTTCTATTAAGACAAGACCCTTGTTCCAGCCATTAGTCTGGTGAGCCTTCTTTAAAAAGTAAGCTATGAATTTAGGAGAAGTGATGGTCTAGTGGTATTATCACTGGACTATTAATCCAGTGACCCAGATAATATTCTGGGGATCTGGATTTGAATTCTGCCACGGCAGATGGTGGAATTTGAATTCAATAAAAAATCTGGCATTAAGAACAAAGGACAAAGAAAATTACAGCAGAGGAACAGGCCCTTCAGCCCTCCAAGCCTGTGCCGATCCAGATCCTCTATCTATACCTGTCGCCTATTTTCCAAGGATCTGTATCCCTCTGCTCCCTGTCCATTCATGTATCTGTCTAGATACATCTTAAATGATGCTATCATGCCCGCCTCTACCACCTCCGCTGGCAACGCGTTCCAGGCACCCACCACCCTCTGCATAAAGAACTTTCCACGCATATCTCCATTAAACTTAACCCATATCACCTTGAAATCGTGACCCCTAGTAATTGAGTCCCCCACTCTGGGAAAAAGCTTCTTGCTATCCACCCTGTCTATACCTCTCATGATTTTGTAGACCTTAATCAGGTTCCCCCTCAACTTCCGTCTTTCTAATGTAAATAATCCTGATCTACTCAACCTCTCTTCATAGCTAGCGCCCTCCATACCAGGCAACATCCTGGCGAACTTCCTCTGCACCCTCTCCAAAGCATCCACATCCTTTTGGTAACGTGGCGACCAAATACGCAGTATTCCAAATGTGGTCGAACCAAAGTCCTATACAACTGTAACATGACCTGCCAACTCTTGTACTCAATACCCTGTCCGATGAATGAAAGCATGCCATATGCCTTCTTGACCATTCCATCCACCTGCGTTGCCACCTTCAGGGTACAATGGACCTGAACACCCAGATCTCTCTGTGTATCAATTTTCCCCAGTGCTTTTCCATTTACTGTATAGTTTGCTCTTGAACTGGATCTTCCAAAATGCATCAGCTCGCATTTGCCTGGATTGCACTCCATCTGCCATTTCTCTGCCCAACTCTCCAATCTATCTATATTCTGCTGCATTCTCCAACAGTCCCATTCACTATGTGCTACTCCACCAATCTTAGTGTCATCTGCAAACTTGCTAATCAGACCATCTATACCTTCCTCCAGATCATTTATGTATATCACAAACAACAGTGGTCCCAACACGGATCCCTGTGGAACACCACTGGTCACAGTTCTTCATTTTGAGAAACTCCCTTCCACTACAACCCTATCTCCTGTTGCCCAGCCAGTTCTCTATCCATCTAGCTAGTACACCGTGGACCGTATGCGACTTCACTTGCTCCATTAACCTACCATGGGGAACCTTATCAAATGCCTTACTGAAGTTTACTTAAGATTCTAACGATGACTGCGAATCCATTGTCGATTGTTGGAAAAACCCATCTGGTTCACTAATGCCCTTTGGGGAAGGAAACTGCTATCCTTACCTGGTCTGGCCTATATGTGACTCTTGACCCACAGCAATGTGATTAACTCTGAACTGCCCTCTGGGCAATTAGGAGTGGGCAATAAATGCTGCCTAGTCAGCAACACACTCATCCTGTTAATGAATAATAAGAAAAAAATTACATCCTTCCATGAATAAAGTGACTGCACATGCTTACAAATGTAGTCTTACCAGTGCCCTGTACAAATTAAGCATAATGTTTCTACTTTTGTATTCAATTCTCTTTGCAATAAACCATAACATTCTATTAACTTTCCTAATTATTTGTTTTACCAGCTCATCAGTCTTTTGTGATTCATGCATAGGAACACACAAGATTTCTCTCCATGTTACAGCTTTCAATCTCTCACTATTTATGTTTTTTTTTAATTTATCCTGCAAAATGGTCAATTTCACATATATCAGATTTGCCAGATCTTTGGCCACTCACTTAACAAAACTCTTTCTTTTCATAGCCTCATGTCCTCTTTACAACTTACTTTGCTATCTACTATTATGTCATGAACAATCATACCTTGAGTCCTTTCATCAGAGTCACTGAGAATAAGTTGAGGTCACAATGCTGATCCCTGAGGCACACCAGTAGTCACACCTTGCCAAGGTGAAAAAGATCCATTTATGCCTACCATCTGCTTCTGTTAGCCAGCCAATCTTCTGTCCATGTCAATATGCTCCTTCTTACACCATGGGCATTTATATTCCACAATAACCTTTGATGTCACACATCATCAAATGTCTTCTGGAAATTTATATACAGTACATCTACTGATTTATCATTACTACATTGTGAGTTCTCACGTGATTTCCCTTTTAGTAACTCATACTGACTCTGCCAAATTACTTTGAACTTAAGTGCCCTGTGATAACATCTTTCATAACAGATTATAGCATTTTCCTTATGCCCCATATTAAGCTAACTGGCTTGTAGTTTCCAGTTTTCTGTCTCCCTCCCTTTATAAATAAACGGAATTTATTTTCTATTTTCTAATCAAATGGAACCTTGCCTGAATCTATAGTTTTGGAGAATTAAAACGAATTCATTGACTATCTCATGAACCACTTCTTATAAGATCCATCACGACCCAGGAACTTGTCAGCCTGCACCTCTAACAATGTACTCAAATACTACTTCTCTGGTAATTATGATTTTACAAGTTCCTCTTTGCCTTCTGCTTTGAGGTATTGCTGCTTCTGGAGTGTTATTTGTATCCCCTATAATGAAGATGAAGCAAAATATCTGTTGAATTCATCTGTAATCTCTGTATTTTTCATTGATTATTAAATATCCATCTCACTTTCTGTAGGACCAATGCTCACTTTCCTTTGTTAAATGTTTTTTGCACTGGGCAGCTTTTCTCAGTATTAATTACAGTGTCTGAATTCAATGTTTTCATAGATTATTAGAAGTTTAATTCTGTTTCAATGATTGTCAGTAATTCCTGTTACTATTGCCATGGCTTTTGAAGACTGAACACACTGACACCTGGGCAAGTAGCCATGGATTTGCTAGGGGCATTTTGGGTGAGACTCATAGGGATGGATGCTGAATGAAATTTGGGAGCTGAGCAATTGTGGTTGGAGAACCAAGATGGGTCTGCTATTAGTCCTGCGCCCACACCGCCAGTCCTCATGAGGTTCATCCTGGTTCACAATGCTGTGCAAATGTATTGTGAAAAGACAAAAATCCTGGACAAATGGATCCGATGTGCATTTAGAAGACGGAAAAGTATCCAGGTTAAGTCTTTTCTGAGCCTAAACAAAAGTCCGGGCACAAATGCACGAGCAGTCAACAGGCTCCTGTGAACTCCTCCATCTGCTATTTAAAACAAATTGGTTAAAGTTTATATTAAAATAGGCATAACACCAGTCTAAAACAGTCACGTCAGGAGTGTCACAAAATATGTTGAAAATCTCATGGAATAATCACCACAGTAATTTTCAAATTGGAAGCTTTAAAAAGTTTCACTTTCAGTCAAGAACAGATGACAGTTTTACACCAATTTCTGATTTAAGAATGTGTTTCTAGCCTTCACTGTTGTTCTTTCTGGCTCTAAACAGAAATATGAAGGAACTTTCCATTCCATGTACAGGAACATTCAGAATGACGGAAGGAAGCAGCTTGGACACATTTCTTACATACCTCAACATTAACTCACAGAAGGTTGTGCCATCCATGAAGACAAACGGGACAGATTAAAGCACTGGCTATCCCGCTTAGTGTGACCCTGAACAGCATTCAGGCTGAGTTCTGCTCCTGTCACAAACCCATGGCCATTTTCATCCAGAAGGACAAGGCCAGCAGATACGTAGGAACACCACCATCTGCAGGTTCCCCTCCAAGCCACTCATCATCCTGAATTGGAAATATTTCGCCATTCCTTCACTGTCACTGGGTCAAAGTCCTGGAATTTCTTCCCAAATGGCATTGTGGGTCAACCTAAAGCACGTGGACTGCAGTGGCTCATGAAGGAAACACATCACCAGCTTCTCAAGGACAACTAAAGACAAGCAATAAATGCTGGCTAGCCAGATACACTTACATCCCAAGAATGAAGAAAAAAATTGCTTGCTGTGAGCTCCAAAGTGATAAAATCAAAAATCTAAAACAATGGCCCTGAAATTAACAAACAGATTAATTTAGTTTAACTTCTTACTTTATTTTAAGATTTAATCTAATCAGATTAAAAAAAAATTCACTAACTTCTGGTGCTGTAGTCTCCTGGACAGGGGCCTCCAATGATGAATCTTTCCAGGAATCCTCGAATTCAACAGCATAGAAGAACATCATAGAAATCATGCACCTTTTTAAACTGCTGAGTGCTGTATTCTGAGTTTTAAGCTTCCAGCAGAGACTTGACAGTTCTGCGAAAAACTAAATAAGTGAGAAAGGTTGGCAGCAGTTGTAGGGTGATAGGTGGGGAATGCTGATAGTTGGGTGAGGGAGTTAGGGTGCCAAGTGAATGTGGGACATAGGTAATATGTAAAATGATGAGTGCTTACAGTAGGTTGGAGTGGTGTCAGGTCAGGTGAGGTGAGAATGTTGAGTGTGGGGTAGGGAGGGTGTTGCCTGGTCTGATACGGTCAGGTCAGGAGTGGGGATTGTAAGGAATCTGAGGGGGTGTCACTGGTAAGAAATTAACAGAGAGTCAAAGTTTCAGCTTTTTCATTTTCTACCTTTGCCTGGATAGCAATTGAGCTGAAGTGAGATAGAACTGTCAGAATTCTCAAACTTTAAGGTTCTCATCAAAGGATTCTAGACACAAGAAAACTGCATTGGAATTTTCAATTTCCTGTACATCTCCTCTAGAGTCACTGATACACAACTTCAGTTTACTCTGCTAAAACTATTTGTCCATCAGAATATCTGGGTCAATGTCTTTAAACAATGTTTCCTAATTTACTCAGAATAGTAAATTCCATGCCAGTTAAACAAATTATCAACATCAGTACGAACAAACACAGTTCAACCCTAGACATGAACAACAGCAACATGAACAGCAGAATCCAACCCTGCAGTCACAGGTGAAGTTGATGGTGTCTCAGCAGATCAGATGACTGAGTGAATCCTTTCCCACAGAGGGAGCAGGTGAAACGCTTCTGCCCACTGTGGGTGCGTTGGTGCTTCAGTAGGTACCTCTTACTTTTAAATCTTTTCTCACATTCAGAACACTGAAAAGGTCTCTGATCAGAATGAACAAGTTCATGTTCAATGAGGTGGGATGACTGAGAAAATCCCTTCCCACACACAGAGCAGGTGAATGGCCTCTCCCCAGTGTGTGTTTGTTGATGTCGCAATAGGTGGGATGAATCAATGAATCCCTTCCCACACACTGAGCAGGTGAACGGCCTCGCCCAAGTGTGAACTCGCTGGTGTGTCAGCAGATCCTTTTTGCTTTTAAATCTTTTTTCACAGTCAGAGCATTGAAATGGTCTCTTATCAGAGTGCGTGAGTTTATGTTCAGTGAGATGGGGTGATTGAGTGAATCCCTTCCCACACACAGAGCAGACAAATGGCCTCTCCCCGGTATGAGCACGTTGGTGGGTCAATAAGGCAGATGACTGAATAAATCCCTTCCCACATATACAGCAGGTAAATGGCCTCTCTCCAGTGTGAATACGCCGATGAGTTTCCAGCTCATAAGGATAACTGAATTCCTTCTCACAATCTCCACATTTACAGGGTTTATTCCCAGTGTGACTGCGCTCATGTCTTGACAGGCTAGATGATTGGCTGAAGCCTCGTCCACACACAGGACACACATATGGTTTCTCTCCATGGTGGACAGCGTTCTTTGCTTCAATGTTCAAAGGCTGATGATGTTCAGGTCCTGATGAATCAAGCGACTCTGTCAGATCTTGATGTGACATTTGGTTTATGCTTTGTCTCAACAAATACTCCTTCTAATAGACTGTAAAATTAATTACAATTGGGGAAAGGGAGCATGAAAGAGAAGTCCCAAAACATTGTAGTAACTTTTGAAACTGAACTTATTAAAATTGACCATTTGTGTGTCTGGTACTAGGACAGTGGCCACCGAAGGTGATGGATTGTCGTCACTACAAGGATTGTAAGGGTCCAAGAAAGCTCATCACCATGCCAAATGATCATGAGGTACTGGTAATATATATTACTCCGACTATTGGTGTGCATATTTCACAAATTCATTATGAATCTATATTCGAAAATAGATTAAGAACTCCCAGAAAAAATATGTACTGCTAGAATTGTTTTTAATATTGTAGACAGGATGTATCTAGCAACCCGGCAATATCAGTTAAAATCTACCTTCCACAAGATTAGCAATTGTTGACCACTTTTTAGTTGAGATAATTTGAAGTTAAAGCCAGTAGCTTTTCCATCATCTCTATTCAATGGAAAAAAAAACATGCAAGAGGACATCTTCCGCATTCAACGCGTCACCTAATTCGAAAACCGGCTCATAAAATTTGCGTTTAAAATACTGCAAATGTTGGAAATCAAAAAGTGAGAATGCTGCAGCTACGCAACAGGCCGGGTAGCATGTGCAAAAAAACAAGATTGAATTGTTTCCAGTCGCCGACCTACCGTGAGGCTGTAATAAAACACACATGGTACTTAGTAATGTCAGTCGCCGTTCCCACAAATCAGCACACCTCATAAACTACTCTATCTAACATGCATCGTCACCAGGCGTTAAGAATGCGCGTGCGCCTCAGGGCTAACCACAAGGCATTCTGGGCAGTTCCTTTGTTGTGAATCACACACAATAGAAAGGGGAGGAAAAACCGAACAGCGGCGGCTTGAATCAAGGAGGCACCGCACCAACTTTTTATTGGTGTTCCCCTGCACTCCCAACTCCTGGTCCGCGACGCACATCCGCCGCGCCGGCCTATTTGATTCGTGGCCTCAGAGCCGCTGACACTCGAGATCCCTAAAGCTCCGCTCGCTCCCGTGCAAGCCCGGTGACACACTGCGCTTGCGCCGTGCTGTTGGGTGTTACTTGAGAGGGGCGGGCCTTAGCGTTTGCGCAGTTTGGACCTTCGGTAATTGATAGGGCGTATTCCCCCGCGCCACGCATTTTGGGTAGGTACAATCGCCATGTTTTGAATACCGCGGAGCAACGTTCATATATAATAATTATAAAAAAGTCGATTAAATTGGACGTCTTCCGCACACAATCAATTGTCACCCAAGTTGTTCGTTCGTTTCGAAGTTAAATATTTTGGTTTACAAATTTATCGATATTTCTTCGGATATAACAAAGTGTGGAGCTCGAGGAACACAGCAGGCCAGGCAGCGTCAGAGGAACAGGAAAGCTGACGTTTCGGGTCGGGACCCATCTTCAGAAATTGCTGCATCTGGCAGTGTAATATTGACGAGTGCTGATCGATTGCCCTGAGAATCAACAGAAAGATAGCTCAAAGCGTCGGCGAGGTAAGGATGAAGCATGTTCTGTAACCGGTCGTAGTGCTTGAGGGGTGGAACATGAGTCCCGGTATCATAAAGAGACAAATGGAGAAAAATCAAAACCTGCAATTTATCTTGAAGCCAAACAACAAGGATAAGGTGAGGAAGGAAAATAGGTAGTTTGAGGGATTTGTAGATAGAAGAGGGGGGAAAGGAGGAAAGCATATTCATGAGAAACCAAAGCCGTCTATTCGGAATTTTGCAATTGGAGTTTAACCTTTGTAAATTGCATGGACAAGTTTCATGGACTCATATTCTGAAATATGGAACATTAAGAGGTGACTTAATTTGGGGGGAGGTTAAGATGATTAAATATGTTGAAAGCGCAAATTAGAGAGAAACTAGCTCCTCTGGTGAGGAAAAGAGAACATCACTTTGAACTTGGAGCTGTTCTAGGATGTTGCCAGGAGGCACTATTTCACATCAAAGGAAATGTAAATGTTGAACAACGTCACCTCGGAAACTGATGAGACTGCGGGTCAATCAGAAATTTCAATGCTGTGTATTTCAGATTTTTGTAAATCAAGATTACTAAGGGTTACAGGACAAAGTGGTTAGATGAATTTAAGATACAAATCAACTATAAATACCTAGGCCAAATGTCTCCCTCCTGTTTTTGTTTCTACTTAGTGTGATGAATTTTGTGAGTTCAACAGGGAATGAGAAAAGCAGGCAGGAAATTTGAATCAAGCACCATGTCAAGATCTGACATAATACTCAATCCATCCAAAACTGAATTTCAGCGGTCATTGAATATAGAAGGAGGAATGCTTGTGGGAAAAAAATTTCAAACATCAGTTTAACATGGAAATCAGACAGACACAGCTCCATGTAAGAGTGTTTTAATAGACTGATTAGAAAAAGTCCCATTCACATCGAAGAGAAACTGTTTGTATACTCATTGCACAGACAAGGCTTCAATTGATCATCCAATCAGGCAAGACAGAAGGACACCAGCATGGAAATGTGGGGCCTGTGAGAAGCGATTCAACCATCCCTCCCAGTTGGAAAATCATTGATGCAGTCATACTGGTGAGAGGCCATTCTCCTGTTACATGTGTGGGAAGCAATTTAGTAAGTCATCTGGCCTTGTGACATGTATTCACACCAAGGAGAGGCCTTTCACCTGCTTCTTGTGTGTAAAAGGTTTCATTGAGTTATCCAAGCTTCAAGCACATCAGCTTCTCACACTGATGAGAGACCTTTTCATATGTCCTAATTGCAAGAATAAGTACAAAAGCAAACAGGACCTATTGACACACCAGTGCACTCACACTGGGAAAAGGCCATTCACTTGCTGTGTGTGTGGAAAGAGTTTCTCTTAGTCATCCAATCTGTTGAGACACCAACTTGTTCACAGTGAAGAGAGACCTTTTAAATGTTCCATCTGTGAGAGGAGCTTTAAAACCACAAAGGATCTACAGACATATCAAGGATAACAAGGTGTAGAGCTGGATGAACACAGCAGGCCAAGCAGCATCAGAGGAGCAGGAAGGCTGATGTTTCGGGCCTAGACCCTTCTTCAGAAATTGGTCCCTCTCAATTGTGAATACCGAAGAAAAGTATTCATTAAGGACCTCTCCTATCTCTTTAGGCTCCGTGCACAAATTCCCTTTACAATCCTTGATCAGCCCTACCCTTTCTCTGGTCATTCCCTTATTCCTCATGTACGTGTAAAAAGCCTTGCAGTTTTCCTTGATCCTATCTGCCAAGGTTTTCTCATGCCCCCTTATAGCTCTTCTAAGCCCTTTCTTCAGCTCCTTCCTGGCTAACTTGTATCCCTCTACAACCTTTTCTGTTCCTCTTTTCCTAAACCTTACATAAGCCTCCTTCTTCCTCTTAACCAGTCGTTCAACCTCTCTCGAGAACCATGGCTCCCTCCTCGACCGCATCTTCTCTGCCTGCTAGGGACAAACATATCGAGCACATGCAGTATGCATTCCTTAACCAATCTCCACATTTCTGTGGTGCTCTTCCCTGACAGCATCTGTTCCCAATTTACGTTACCCAGTTCTTGCCTAACTGAATTGTAATTACCCTTCCCCCAATTGTAAACTTTACCCTGCCGTATGTACCTATCCTTATCCATGACTATCGTGAAAGAAACAGAGTTATGATTGCTATCGCCAACATGCTCTCCTACCAACAGGTCTAACACTTGGGCCCGGTTCGCTGCCAAACACCAAATCCAAAGTGGCCTCTCCTCGTGTTGGTCTATCTACATACTGTATCAGGAATCCTTCCTGAATGCACTGGACAAAATCTGCTCCATCTAAACTATTACAACTAAAATGTTTCCAATCAATATTTGGAAAGTTGAAGTCACCCATGACTACAACCCTGTGACTTCTGCACCTTTCCAGTATCTGCCTCCCAATCTGCTCCTCTACTTCTCTGCAACTATTAGGGGGTCTGTAAAAAAACCCCCAACAAAGTGACTGCTCCTTTCTTGTTCCTGACCTCAACCCAAACTGACTCTGTAGACATATCATTCTCAATTTTCATTCTAATACTTGGGTTTTGTTTCTGTTGACAAATTCCAGTCCAAACAGAGGAGTTATTGTTCTGGATAAACAACTGAAGTTCTACCTTGCAACACCAATTGAGGGGTGAATGATGTCTGATGCCTTGAATTTTATGTTGAAATGAGTGCAGATTATTACTCAATCTCTATATTCCAGGTGTGATGGAATCTGTGGTTTCAAAAGCATGTATTATTTAAATCAGATTCTAACTGGATCTGAAAGGGAAACTGAACCTTCAGATTTCTAGGCACACAAAAATTGAAATTCAGAAAATAAGATACAGAAAATAACCATCAAGCTCAGATCCCAGTGATGGAGTACAGGCAGATTGAAGAAGATGAAGATATTGGCAAATGCAGTTTTTGCAGCTGTTTCTACTCTTTGAAGTTAACATTGATCCACTGCATCAAGAACAACATGAACAGAGTCGAGCAAGATGGTCAAGTCCGTGCCTGCGGATCTTGGGCTGGTTGTGTATTGTTGTGTTAGTTGGGGATCAGACTAAATCCTTGAAAATAAACTAGAATTCTAACAGAGGAAGTTTGTGAATTTGAAGAACTTTGCAGCTGCAACTAGTGGCAAATACACTGAGTGGACTAAATAAAAACTGAAAACTGTGGATGCTGTAAATCAGGAACAAAAACAGAAGTTGCTGGAAAAGCTCAGCAGGTCTGGCAGCATCTGTGAAGAAAAGAAATCAGAGTTAACGTTTCGGGTCCGATGACTCTTTCTCAGAACAGGGTCACTGGATTCAAAACGTTAACACTGAGCGGACTGCCTGGAACGTCTGAGACTTAACTTTGTATATTTTCTGTATAATTTGCCTGAAGGTTAGCGCTTAGTCTATGATGGTTTTTGTTTTCTTGATATGGCAAAACTTGCTATCTTGTCCTTTGGGTTTTTCTACTGAATCATCTGGAAATTCAGTACTTTCACATTATTGGTTTCCACACAGATTGTAATAAAATTGGGAGTTTGTCTGGGAAAGATGCCAGAGGCAGAAAAATGGGTTTTCTAGCATTTTACAGTATTCGAACAAGATTTTATAATTAGTTTTGTTGTTGTCATTAGACAATCAATAGAGATATCTCAGGCCCTTTTGGAAAGAAAGGACTTACATTTTTGTGCCTTGGAACAGTTATCAAAAGATAACTGGAACAACATAGCAGAATAAACTGGCATTTGTCTACAGTCGGGAGCTAAGAAGAAATAGAGACAATTTCAGAATTAGCTCACCCTTTTGAAACTTAAGGGAGAAAAAGATATTCTTGCTAATACCATGTAGATCTAGCTAGACTTCAATAAAAAAAATAAGATAAATAAGGCAGTATAGACATGAACAAGTCTGATTTAGCAAGAGAAAAACTAGAAAATGATAAATTGGAATCACACCAAGAAAACATCAGTGATTTAAAAAGAGAGAGACTCATTAGTTAGTAAGTTTTTCAGGTGACACAAAAATTGGTGGTGGTGTTGATAGTGATCAGAATGGTTTCATACGACAGTCAGATGAACTGGTAAATTGTGCAGTACAATGGCAGAAGGAACTTAATCCTAATAAGTGAGATGTGGTGCATTTTGGGAGGCCTAATAAAAAAAGGATTTACTCAAAAATTGTTAGGACCCTAAGGAGTAATGAGGAACAAAGGGTGTACAAGTCCATAGATCCCTGAAGATGTCAGCACAGGTAGATAGGGTGATGATGAAGCCTAATAGGATGCTTACCTTCATTAGCTGGGGTGTAGAATATAGGAGCAAGGAGGTCTTGTTAAAACTTTATTGGTTGGTTAGGCCATAGATGGAATACTGTGCGCGGTTCTGGTCACCACTCGATCAGAAGGATATGATTGCCCTGGAGAGACTGTAGACGAGATTCACTAGGATGTTGCCTGGATTGGAAAGCTTCAATTTTGAGGACAGACTGGATAGGCTGGATTTGTTTTCTCTGGAACTGAGGGTGTATCTGAGGTATACAAAATTATGAGAGGTAGATTGTGAGATTCTTTTCTCCATGGCAGGTATGTCTAAGACTAGAGGGCA